CTGTCGGGTGGGGCGGGCAGGGTGGTGAGGATGGTCGGGGAGGAACCGGGGAAGGAAAACTAAGTGAGCGGTCTGGACGGTATTTTATCCGCTGTGCTTCACGTATTGGCATAATCCGGTTTTGGCCCCAAGAGTTATATATATCGATACTGACTTTGTCTTTTTACTCGGTATCGGTGTTTTATGTGGGAGAGAGCGAGAGGTGACTGTCTGCAGTTCTTTCGCCCGCACAAGGCGATCGATAACGAATGCGGTGCTGCGCCGTCTACAAGTGGGGCCAAACCCGGACTGGGGAACTGGAAGTGGAAGAAAGGCGAATGCGGCGCTGTCTCCTATTTTTCAGTTTCAGTGGGGCCTAGAAAGATCTACAAACAGCAGAGTGTAATTGATTGAATTTGAGTTGGGGCTAAACCCGGAGTAACGGAGCAAGGGGGCAAGCGTGAGCAAACTAATAATACAATAGCAATTGAATTGGGGCTGTACCCGGAGTAATGATTTTAGAATGTGTCAGAGAATTGGGGGGTTTCAGGGGGCTTGCCCCCTGATAATTATTGATTTCAGTTTTATGTAAACGTAAAAAAGACCTTCGTTCGCTGATCCGTAAATCTGAAATCTTTTTTTAGAAATTTAGATCTAACAAACTTACCTCTATTGGAAGTCGTCGTCGCTGCTCATGTCGTCTGGCAGCAGGTAAAGGGCGTAAAAAATTGGTGGACAGGACAACTTTGACCTTTTGCCTTTGCACGATATTGATTTTGAGTCCTTTCGCTTTGAAGCCGAGGTGGTGGCGACGGGTGCAGCAGGAGAAGCTGAGGTGGTGGCGACTGGTGAGGCAGGAGAAGCTGAGGTGGTGGCGACGGATGGGGCAGGTGAAGCTGAAGTGGTGGCGACGGGTGGGGCAGGAGAAGCAGCGGTCCCCTGAGCCAGCGAAATGTTGGCGTACTCCTCCAGAGACACCCAGGTTTTGAAAACTGGTCTCTGGGCACTCATACAAAGGGGTCCAGTCGAGGGATAAATGGACTTGAGGTCCCGAAAAAAAAATTTCAAACAAATTGCCCTTTGAGTTCCGGTTCCTCCACAGTTCTTCACATAAATGGCTCTCAAAATTGGCTGCAGAGGTACCGTAAATCTTCCGAAAGTGTTGCTTCGCGTGTGCCCACGCGCCGTCTATTTGATTTGGGTGGACCTCCACAGACTCCCCTGTACAGCAATTCTCGTACAGCTGACGGAAGGACCACTTGTGCAAAACAGTAAAATGCTGGTATCGTTCACTGTTTAGGGAAGAATAAGAGGCCCAACCGTCAGAGTAGATAGTCGAGCCTGGGGAGACAAACTTTTTAATAATAGGAAGTAAAGTTGCCTCGTCCGTGCTTTCCACTGGGAACAATAAAATGCGATTAGATCTTCATTCCATGTAAAGTTACCTGGCGGTCCGATGAGTCGGGTCTGTCAGGGGGCCCCCGTCCAAGATAAGTGTTGCCTCGTCGTGGTCCTGAGTTCGACTGAATACCTCAGTGAGTCTCTCAGACGATGTCTGCCTATTTCGCACTGGACTCTTGACGTCATCCATGGGCGTGCCACTCCCCTAATTATCTTGTCCCCCACAGTAAAGATAAGAGTCATGTCCCTTGACATCACATCCTCCTCACGAGCAATTTCAAGAACAATTCAAAATGCTAAACTCATCAACCAGAAACTGAAACTAAAACTCTGAAACCTTATATACACTGTACACAGCAGAAACTTCGTCTACAAGTCGAGTCTCTGCGGAGGCCTGACATGGCGTCCCGACTTCGTTATGTAGTCAGACGTAGTGGAAGTATCATGAAGGGTTGTGTCTGACTCTCTAGTGACTCCGCTGGTAATTCTGGCTGATGGTGAGGCAACATAGAAAACTCTCTGGTCCTGAGCTGATTCCGAAAGGCAACCTCTTGAAGCAGTACCTCCCGTATGGAGTTATAAAAGTTGTTAATTTTTGTGACTCTTTCTCTAGTGGTATTTGAAAAAATCCACTATTGCAGTCTAGCTTACTGAAATATTCACATCCCGAGAGTTGAGCTAGCAGCTGATCTGTTGTAGGTAGGGGAAAATTTTCTCTTTGCACACTTTCATTCAACTTGGTGAAGTCTACACATAACCTGATTTTTCCGTTTGGCATCGCCTCCGCCCATAAACGTTCACGAGTGTAAGGGAGAATGACGAACCGTACCATTCGTCGTTTTCGCTTACATCGTAAGGCTCACCTGCGGGTGCGCAGTGTAAGGGAGAACGACGAATGTCGAATAACTTTGCTACTTTTTAACCTAAACAATTCAAACTTTAGAACTGCTTAATGAACACCTCAATCAGATCTGGTAAATTACAGTTTAAAAGAGTGAAAAATAGAAGAGTTATAAAGTGAAAACAGTTTTGGCCTCTCCTGAAAAATTTGCCTCGCTACCTGCGCAGGACCATTCGTCGTTTTCCCTTACGACGGCAGAACTAGTCTGCCTATCTATCACTCAGAATTCAGTACCATTTCTTGATCAGCTTCTTTCTAGTCTGTTGGTTTTCTCAAAAACTGCTTCTTTTACTAAATGTTGTATTTGTATCTTGATAGAGCGACATTAATCTTTATTTGTTTTTCACCAGTTCAGCTAATGAACATCCCATATATCGAGGGTCGCCAAGTAAACTATGGTAAGTCATGTTTTTCAAATTTTACAGAAGAGACAAAAAATGGATTTTCTTGAAGCATCGTTTTGGGTGGATAAACTTCATTTTCATAAGGGGGCCTACAAATGCCATGACAGAATAAGGGGTCCCTTATGGAAATGAAGTTTATCCTCACAAAACACTTCAAGAAAATCCGTTTTTTGTCTCTCCTGTAAAATTTGAAAAACATGACTAAACCATAGTTTACTTGGTTGCCCTCGATATGTCTGCTATTCATACGAGTCTTTTCTGAGCCAAGAATATTTGTTTAAAAAGTATTCTTGCTGCTTGGATAAGAATACCTAAAGGTTCATATTATATTTGTGTTCACGAGTTTTTTGTGAGATGTTCCAGGTATATGATAAATGATACTTTCACACTCACACACTCTGCATTATAATGAAATTTTTTCTTCAGGTGTGATTGCAGCGTTCACAGCGAGCAATATACAACGATTCTTTTCATTGGAAATCAAATTAAAGAAATTGTCAAAATGAAGTGGTTCGAAGGTGGAATTCCGAGTGCCATACAGACTGCCAAGAGCAACAACTCGGTCTTCATTGTGTTTGTGACAGGTAATTAGTGTGAACTGGGGAGGGTTCTTATTTATCAAGTGATGTATTTGTATTTGTTTGTTTGTTGTTTTTTTTTTTTAAAGACAGCGAATGACATCTTGTTTTAATTTGTACACATATGTAATAGCCTTTGTCATAAAACTGGCTAACCTCATCTGAGTAAATTTTTCAGAAAAAAATCTTATTAATTGGTTTTATCATACAGCAATCTGGCAACTGGAAGGTTGTTTGGCTTTTTTTTTTAACCTTATCCGGACGTCATGTTTTACTATCGTATCCTTACGACGTGGAGAATTCTGTGCCACCAATTTACTCGTTAATCCGATCTGTACACTTTGCGTAGCAGTCTGTCAAAATGATTATTTGAGAAATACTGAAAGTTTCAAAGAGATGTTCGTACTAGAAGTATTCTAAAATGTGAAAAATTCAACCCCAGGGGTACAAAATGACCCCAGGGCGTACGGATAGGGTTAAGTAAAACATTTTAGGAGCATTCAGACCTGTTTTCTGTCTTTGACTGAGCATATGAAATGGTTGAATAGTAATGATTCATCATATTAAAAAAAACCCCCAAAAATGTAGGTTAGCGGGAATATCACATGCTTTTATGGTTGAGTTTACATCCTCCATGTCTCAACATAAAAAGAGATGTCTTTTTAAAAATTATTGTAATTAGTTTACTTTCAAAAATATTTATAGACCATTTTGCCCAGGTGTTTAAGCTGTTTGGGCTGTCAAACAGACTAAAAAGACATGAGGTCTTGTTCAAATCAGCCCCAATACGTAGAATATAGCCCCGACTTCCTATTGCTATTCCACTACCTAAGAATTTCAAAGTTTTACCAATTTTTTTGCAGTTTTGAGTTACTAAGACCATGAGGTCCGAAAACGAAAAGATGTTCTATCTGCTGTATCAAAATTGTTAGATTGTTCGGCTTCGTTATCAAGATATTCAAAGAATTGCATTTTAAGAAAGCTTGACATGTGAAACTCAACATTTTTTACATCAAATTTCTCAAAACTAGGTACTGAGCAGAATAGAACTTTGCAATTCTAGGGTAGTGACTAGTAAAGTAATGAGTTGTCCTTTCTACTCTTTTCTCACCCTCCTAATTGCCCCATATGTGTTGAAAGTAATGTAAAATTCATTCAGATGTTCTGAAGTTTGCATTAGCTTAGATGAATATGTTTTTTCTATGTAGGAGATGGAGAGAGCTCAGCCGAGATGGAATCTCGCCTAAACAGTGAGGATGTCACTCAGCTGTGTGAGAGCAAAAACTGCGTGGCTGTCAAACTACAGGCAGACAGGTTTGTACTTGTACATGTAGCAAAATCAGCAGGATATAGAGAAATCTTTTTCTACTGTACGAGGGGTGTCGCTGTCTTAAAATGAGCAATTTGTAAGCTATTTTACTGCGGTTGTAAATCATTTATTGTTGTTGTTGTGACCCCATGTATGCACCCAAAGGGCGCTTTTTTAATGTAGGCCTTAAATAAAGTTTGGTCCACAGAAGTAACACGCAAAGTTTCATGCACTTTGGCAAATTAATAAATGAGCTAAAAAATGTTATAGCACTGACAGATGAAAGTGAGCTGTGGTATCAATAATACAACATAGATCTTGTCAGTTTGTTATTGTTTGAGCATGTGCAATCAGTACTTTACAGTGTGTACTTTCCAGGAGGCCGACAATGTTTCTGAGTGGTCTCGGGCCTGATGAAATGATAATAGTTGCAAAGAGCACAGACTTGTGCTATATAATGTATAAATAAAATTTATAATAATAATAATAATAATAATAATAATTATTATTATTAGCAACAGCAGCATTATTAGTAGTATTCATATTACCTTGATTATTATTACTGTTATTTTTACATAGGTCTGTTTTTATTATTGTATTGAGTGTGGTTTTTTTTTGGTCACTTTGTCCTCAGCAATGACTGCAAGTTCTTCTCACAGATTTGTATCCTTTTGAGAACGTTTGCTAAAAACAGACTGTCTGTTTCAAATAAAAGAGATGTTTTTTGTGAGCCAGAAATATTTTTATTTTCTATATTTCTGTATTTGTAGACTAAGCATTTTGAGTGTCTACTTCAGTCGAACCTGTCCAAAACGATCATCTATTGTGGAGGAGTAAAATTATGTTTGCCTTCACTTAGAAGTTAGACAGGTGGTCCTCATGCGAAGATCTGATGAAAATGAAAGGAAAAAAGACCATTCATTTCCTGCTGGGGTCCCATGGGGAGGTGCTTACAGGCTTAGAACTGCTATGGAGCCCATTAAAAATTGGGGGGGGAGGGGTGGGGTGAGAGGGAGTTTTGGGATTAAGACGACTCATCATAGGGTTAGGGGCAGATAAATTTGGGCAGCTGGCTGGGTGATGAAATATTTATTGTGTAGTCATCTTGGACAGGTTTTTTGGGACTGTTGGTTTGATAGAATATAGCAGTCGCTTTGGATGGGTGGTCTTCTTGGACAATATCATTATATATACAGTCGAACCTGTGTAAGACGACCACCCATTGTCAAGGAGAAAAGTGGCCGTATAAGACCGGTGGCCGTCTTAGGCAGGACTGATCAAGATGAAGAAAACAAACCATTCCTTTCTGAGGTCCCAACTGAAAGCAGTCGCATTGTTGTTGTTGTTGTTGATATTGTTGTTGTTGATATTGTTGTTGTTGATATTGTTTTTGTGTTTGCTGGGAGGGGGGGGGGTTGTTCTTTTGTTGCTGCTTTCGTGCAAGGGTGACAATAAAAAGAAATAGACCGAGAGCTATGGTAAAACAAACACACGGGTCGCCACCACTCGGAGAACGAGCGAAGCTTTTGTAACAAGTTCATGCTGACCTTCATGGTTACTTTGTTACAGACTGGGTAAACGGTGACCACTCATCTCACTTACGATTTGTGTATGAGTTCTGGGCGGGGCTTATGGGTTATGAGGGATCACACTCTTACCTCACCAGCAGCTGAGAATTTGTTACCTATTGGTCATGATCGGTTGGAGGGACTACCTCGGAACATGCGCAGAAATAACGACAGGTGATAGGATTATGACGGCTCGCCCACAACGCCAGGGACCAATGCATGATTTATACCAAAACGTAATGGCGTCACTAAGGTGGCCGTCTAAGACAGGTGTTATTGCTTGGTGTGATAGGGGTTGTGTGTAAGGTTGGGTCGGGCTCGCAAAATTAGCGTCCGCGGGTAACGAACTACCCGCTGGCATTACCCGCAAATGAGCGGACGGGTAACGAACCGTCCGTTTGTGAATAGTTCGCTACTCGCTACACATCGGACAGAGACAACAGTTTGTTTAGCGAGTGAGCGGGCGTGCGGACCGAGAGACTCCATGCATTCGAGCGGGCGGACGGACGAACGTACGGACGAGAACGACTCCTTCCATTGCCTACAACTTACAACCCCCCCC